ATACATACCACCAGTGGAGTCCTCAAACTCGTCACAGGAACTAGTGAGTTTTTTCACATCATTGTTAGTGTCACAGACTATAAGCTTTTGTTTTTGACTGTATCAGGAACTAATGTCTTGTTGATTGTCTGAGGGACTAAGATCTTTTTGTTGATTGTCTGAGGGACTAAGATCTGCTTGTTGATTGTTTGAGGGACTAAGATCTTCTTGTTGATTGTCTGGAGGACTAAGATCTTTTTGTTGATTGTCTGAGTGACTAAGATCTTTTTGTTGATTGTCTGAGGGACTAAGATCTTTTTGTTGATTACCCTGGGAACTAATTCCTGGTTATTTTCTGTGCACGTCAAAGAAAATGGTGAAAGTAGGGAAGGACTCATATTCATACTGTTTACAATATCATGAAATACCACAAGTACGCACAAGAATACACAAAATCACTTTTCACGTATGTTCGAAAGAAATCACATTTCTGTCAGGCCGGTAGAATATATGACATGTTAGTTAATTAGTTAATCCTTCTTCTTGGGCCTAGGGCGGCACATAGCACAGAGGTCATAGCTCTCCATGTCTGGCGGTTCGTTGCCACCTGTTGTAAGTCTTGGATGTTTGTTAGGCCCATGGTTGAGCCTTCCCTGATGATGGTTCTACGTAGATAGTCTCTCTTGGTCTTCCCCATTTTCTTTTCCCTTCTTGTGTTGCCACCCTAACAATTTCTGGCCAGAAAAGCTGCGAGTGACAAAGGCCATAGCTCACAAATAAAACTTTTTTGGATATTATGTGCCCCAGATGAACTGGTGCCTGTGAGATGGATAAGGCTGTTCTCGAGAATCAGAGAATCTGATTGAGAATCAGCTGTCCACACATGCCTTGATTGTAACTGACTTACAGAGCATGTTGAGAAAGGTGGAGACAGGCATGCTCTGTAGAGCTGAAAGCAACACTTCAGAGGTCCCGGGTAGTTAGCATCCTTTGGATATTTTCTTTATGTTATGCCAGTGTGTGGGGAAATGAGCAGGCAGATAGACCGGCTGGTTTTGCACCGCTTGGTCATGAATTGATGTATAACAGGCTGGATGTTGTGCAGGCTCTTTGGGAGTGAGTGAACAGGGCAGAGGCACACATAGATCATTACGGTCTTGGGAGAATGGCGTTGAGAGGAGTTACCAGAGGATCTGGCCGACACTCAACACTCAGGGAGAAAGGCGAGATGGATATACAATCAGACAGTTACTGGTGCCATTGGAATTGGAACTCTTCGCTTGCTGCTGAAATGGGAACGGATCACTTATGAGGGTGTCCCGAGTGCTGTGATGTCGATTCCTAATTCAAGATTCAGTATTCACCATTTAGTGGCTAGAGTTGATGGCTGGAACCTCCATGTTTAGGGCACCTTGCTGATCCTGAAAATTTAAGTGCAACGCCGCTGGTTTGAGGGCACAGTTCTGCATATCAGAAAGTTGTGTACAGTAAAGATAACAAAAACTACAGGAATGTATGTACACACAGTGCATAGTAAAGATAAGAGTGACAGTACAGAAGGGTCCATGTTTACACTGGAACAGTGATGGGTCAAAGTAGATAATACAAACTTAACCTCAGTGTTTGAACAGAAGAACTAGATATGGCAGTGAAGTATAATATATAATCTTTACCTTTTTGACCCACTCACATACTTACACACACATATATAAATGCACACATACATACATGCATGCACGCACATACACACACACACACACGCACACACACACACACACACACACACACACATAAAGACAGATGTGCAAACACATTCACAGACACATACTCATAGACACATTTACACCCACTCAAAGACACACACACACACAGAATCGCACAGACACACACACACAGAGACACATGCACACACGCAGACACATACACACACTTAGAGGCACAGGTAATGATACACATGCAGCCACACACAGACAGATACTCATGCAGGCACAGACACACACGCAGACACACAGACATACTTTGCGGCATTACTGGCATGGGTTTTTACCTCCGCTGGTAGACAAAATGTGACTCTTGACCTCTGAAATCTGCATGAAGCTGTATGCCGACAGTTAGCTGATTGCTTTCAAATTTTGACACAACTTTGCATTCGGTTTCGCACGTTTTTGTATAAGACTGTCGCACAAAGCACAAACTACATAGCACCAGCGATGATCACAACGGCATCTTAATTTTGTTTTGCGACAATCCTTTATTTCGTTGCCGCGTTTTTGTCGCGGGTTTTTATTGGTAGGCCAACTTTGTTGACCTCAGAAATCTGTATGAAGGTGTATTCTGGCAGTTCTTCACCGATTGCTTTGAAATTTTGACACAACGATGCATTAGAATATGCGCATGTTTTTATACAAGAGGGTCGCACAAAGCACAAACTACATGGTTCCAGTGATGATCTCATTGGCATCTTGGTTTTGTTTTCCAAAATATCATTTCTTTCTCGTTGCTGCCTTCTCGAACGTTGACTGTTGACCTCAGAAATCTGCATAAAGCTGTATGATTTAAAAAATTATTCCAAAGAGTTGTTGAAAGACTGTTTGGAAATGTTGAGATGTGGGAATAAAAACAAGTTGACATTAGTATTGGGGGGAAAAAGAGAGCTGTTGAAAAACTGTTTGGGAATGAAAAGATATGGGAATGAAAAGATATGGGAATGAAAAGATATGGGAATGAAAAGATATGGGAATGAAAAGATATGGGAATGAAAAGATATGGGAATGAAAAGATATGGGAATGAAAAGATATGGGAATGAAAAGATATGGGAATGAATGAAAAGATATGGGAATGAAAAGATATGGGAATGAAAAGATATGGGAATGAAAAGATATGGGAATGAAAAGATATGGGAATGAAAAGATATGGGAATGAAAAGATATGGGAATGAAAAGATATGGGAATGAAAAGATATGGGAAATGAAAAGATATGGGAATGAAAAGATATGGGAATGAAAAGATATGGGAATGAAAAGATATGGGAATGAAAAGATATGGGAATGAAAAGAAATGGGAATGAAAGATATGGGAATGAAAAGATATGGGAATGAAAAGATATGGGAATGAAAAGATATGGGAATGAAAAGATATGGGAATGAAAAGATATGGGAATGAAAAGATATGGGAATGAAAAGATATGGGAATGAAAAGAAATGGGAATGAAAAGATATGGGAATGAAAAGATATGGGAATGAAAAGATATGGGAATGAAAAGATATGGGAATGAAAAGATATGGGAATGAAAAGATATGGGAATGAAAGGTTGCTGATTAGTGAGAACTGTCATCACAGCATTTGGGACAGATCCATGGGTTCTCAGATCTTTTCCTTGATAGCTCCACTAGTGGAAAAACCACTAATGATGCCCTTTTTTGTGGTGATTAACCAGGTGACTTTTGCCCTCGGTGTTCCAGGCTGAACTTCTATATCCACCACCCTTGACACCAGTGTTGCCACTTTGAATGTTTTACATCCAGATTTAGATGTTTTTCGCGATATGCATCTCACTGGATGTCAATGATATCATTACTGCCCATATCGGGGAAGTCACAGTAACTGCCTTACCACAAGATTAATCTGCTCATAGTAGCAAGGTGGTAGTAGTAACAGAATAGTAGTAGTTAAAACGTTGGGCTGTCATGCAGGAGACCTGGGTTCGACCCCCAGTAAAGTGATAAGAGTTTTTCTGTTGGGGGCACAATTAAACATCCTTACCTGAACAGTCCGTGGTGACAGCACTAGCCATGCGGCTTTTCTGGCTCACGACCCTCTGTCTACACCGGCATAGACAGGTGGTAAAACAGGCAGTAGTAACAGTTTTTTGTTTTGGTGGTGGTGGTGGTGGTGGTAGTACTGGCACTCCAGGGTAATGTGGTAATTATTACACTGGCCGCATTTACCTCTGATTACAATTCCTGCTACCCATTTTAGTCTTGGTGGACACAGATGCCAAGATCAGTTTAAAAAAAATGTGAGATGAATTTCAAATCCTTCAGACAGGGATAGAGGAGTAGTCAGTGGATTGCGGATTGACAGAAACTGTTAACCGAAGGAGCTTAAAACATGATTATACAGTTTTTATTATTTATATTTTAATAATGCTACCTCAGCTATTCTCATTTTTTGGGGGGATAGTGACATAAACAAAATTTTTTTTTAGACCTACAGTAGTAAACCTTTTTGAAAAAAATACAAGCTTTAGCACGTGATAATCAAATAACCCTGTTTAAAAAACTGCAAAATTAACCATATTAGTCATGTGCGCTTTCTATTTTCTTTCTTTCCCAGTTAACCAGACTGGCCACAGCAAAGCGTGGTCGGGTACAGCTAGTTTAATTATAAATTGATTATGCAACATGGATTATTAGCATCATTTAAGATGTCATATGAACCCTGGTAATCATAAATGAAAACGTTGGCGATCAAATGAGTAGGTACTCTGTAGTTTTCAGATCGAGTGGACAATGGTTCTATAAATGAGCAGCAGAATATTCTAAACTTGTTTTAAATAAATCAGTTCTAGGTTTAGGTAAGTGTAAAAAACTTAGTCGCTTGCCTTTCGTAGAATTGGATTTAGTCAACCGAAAAATGTAATTTGGAGATAGGATTTTGAAAATGAATTTGGCCTTATTAACAATTAAACGTTTATTAATTGGAGAAGTCTTAGATGTCCGTACAAGAGATTTTTGTGGTTGTATATCCACTTAAAATAAAAAAATAAAAAATCACGCCCACCATGTCTACACACTATGCAGCACAACCAGTGCCCAAGGTGTCGTAGAAGTGTAGTTGTCACTGCCTACAGATGTCACGTCAACAAAAACCCGTAAATTATCGAAAAACAGCTTTCTAGGAGACGAGGGTTAAAACCTTCCGCTTGTGATGCATTGTGTTTCTCAGTACCTGACCTTTCTGTCTGTCAAAAACTACATTTTATTGTCAGTTCCTGTGACGACTCATTTTGTTTTGCCAGGGTCACTCACAGACATCGTTGACTCATTCACAAGAACAAAGATATGCACAGGGTTAGTCTTTGTCTGTATATGCGTTGATTGTTGAATGTTAAATTAGGAATCGACATCACAGCACTCGGATTGCTCCCATAAGTGCTCAGTCCCCATCTTCAGCAGCAAGCGAAGAGTTCCAATTCCAATGGCACCAGTAACCGTCTGATTGTATATCTGTCTCTTCCTTCTCCTGAGTGTTGAGCGTCGGCCAGATCCCCTGGTAACTCCTCGCAGCGCCATTCTCCTTAAACCATAATGATCTATCTGTGCTTCCGCATTGTTCACTCGCTCTGTATATATCTGTATATGCGTGTATGCTTGCACACATGCGCTGTTTTTTGTTGTTACATTATTATGTGCTGTGTTGAATTCTTCATAAACATGTGTTATCTCTGTTCACGATAAGTTAGTTGCTGATTTTGTTTGTTTAAAGTATCCAGAAAACATGAGTTGTAAACCCTTTGGCTCGGTACTATGGATATCGCAACCCTTCGGCCTTGATTCCATTATAGATACCGTAAATCTAGGGAAAAAAGTGGCTTTCCTGCCTACCCCTGGGCGTAAACCCGGACCACGAGGAGTTTGTCACCCAGTCACCACGAAGTCTGGTTTTACCAACTCCGCTAGCGAGCCGGGCTTAGTTGCTGATAAAATGGGCTGTTTGTACCAACTTTGTGCAGTCAGTGTCAGACATGGACATTCCTGGAGAACAAGCACAAAATTACTTTTATGATGAGATATGTAAAAAAAAAAAAAAATAAGAGACAGAGTCACCTAACTGAGAACAATGGTAAGCACAGTACCGGTCAATGATTTCATAGAACATCAAAAAAATCAAAAGGTTTGGTCATATAGTAAGAATGAAACAAAATCAGCCAGCAGCTAGGGGTTACTACATGAGAAAAGCAGGTTACAAGACATGAGGCCAACCAAGAAAGAGATGGCTAGAGGGAGTAAAAGAAAGACTACAGACACACAGTATGACATTAACACAGGCTATGCAACTACCAAAACACAGGAGATTACATATAACTCCTCTCTGCTATGCTTTGCGGGCAGTAGGACAAAATAAAGAAGAAAGTACCTGATAATTTTCTCTCTTTGTTGTTCTCTGTCTCTAATGCTTTAAGTCCTTCTGGTTATCACATTCATCTCTAAAACCTCCCATGTTATAAAATTACTAACCCACTTCTTTTTTAAGCAAGCTGAAATAAAAAAACTAAAAAAAAAAAACTATGCATTTCTCCCACGCATATTTTTACACATTTCAAATGTTTTGTTTTTTGTTACCCGTACTGGAAAAGAGTATATTTTTCTAGAGGCATTTGAAACTAAGTGTATCTGCTTCACACGATTTTACGCCTTAGAACTGTTTTACTCTCTCAGATCTCACACGTTAGTAATGGATGCATGTCTTTCCCCCCAGAAATTGTACAGAATTCTGACCAGAATGTGGAGTTGCCTGAATCTCAGCATGTATATCAGCAGCATGCTCCTCATCACCATCATATGCCGGGAATGGAGGTGGAGGCAGACATAGGAAATAGTCACTTCCATCATCAAATGGTAGTCGCAAATACTAACTCACAAATGTTGTTTTATTTATTTTCTTACATTTCTGAGAAGGGGTGGTCTCTGATGAGTGGTTGGTGTCTGGAGAATAGGTGTGTCTGGGGAAGCATGCATGCCTGGGAAGTGGGTGTGTCTGATGAGTAGGTGTGTCTCTGTAGTGGGTGTGTCTAGGGAATCATGTATGTCTGGGGAGTGGGTGTGTCTGGGGAGGGGTGTGTGTGATAGGGGAGGGGGTGGTGTCTGGGGGCATGGATGTTTTTGGGGAAGCGAGTATGTCTGGGAAGTGGGTGGTGTCTGGGGAGTGGGTGTGTCTAGGGAAGCATTTATGTCTGAAGAGTGTGTAGTGTCTGGGAAAGCGTGTATGTCTGGGAAGTGGGTGTGTCTGGGAAGTGGGTGTGTCTGGGGAAGCGTGTATGTCTGAAGAGTGTTTAGTGTGTTGGGAGTGGGTGTGTCTGGGGAAGCGTGTATGTCTGAAGAGTGTGTAGTGTCTGGGGAATGGTTGTTTCTGGGGAAGTGAGTATATCTGGGAAGTGGGTGGTGTCTGGGGGGGTGGGTGTGTCTGGGGAAACGTGTATGTCTGAAGAGTGTGTAGTGTCTGGGGAAGTGGGTGTGTCTGGGATATGGGTGTGTCTGGGGAGTTAGTGTGTCTGAGGAATGGGTGCATCTAGGGAAAGAGTTTGTTTCTAGAGAATGGGTGTGTCTGGGGAGTTGGTGTGTGTTAGGGGAGAGGGTGGTGCCTAGAAAATGGGTGGGCTTAAGGAAAGGTGGGGGGTTGAGGAGTGGTTGGCATCTGAGGAGTGGATATGTCTGAGGTATAGTGCCTGAGGAGTGTATATGTCTGAGGTATAGTGCCTGAGGAGTGGATATGTCTGAGGTATAGTGCCTGAGGAGTGGATCTGTCTGAGGTATAGTGCCTGAGGAGTGGATATGTCTGAGGTATAGTGCCTGAGGAGTGGATATGTCTGAGGAGTGGATGATGCTGATTACATGTAGGATTCATTGCAGACAGTTCATTCTTATTGTGTTGATTTATATTTAGACTAACAAAACTTCTGCTTACAGAGGCACGAACCTTTAACGCCAACACCTGAGAGTGACCCAGTCTATGTGAACAGGGCTGCACTCCTGCCTGCGTACAGACCCACTCCAGATTATGATGCTATCATGCAGCAGCGGATCATCCACCAGCATAACTTTCAGTCCCACTTTGATGAAATCACACCTCACCTGGGAATGGCTCAAGTCTACGGACACCAGGACGGCCTTGGATTTACTCAACCTGAAGCCAGCCAGAACATGCCTGCTTACAGAGACGAGCATGGTAATTATGCAAATGTGGATGAACTACGAAATTTTAGTCACTCCATCTGCGCAAATATTTTCCAGGAAAATGTTGGATATCACCAAGGCCGCGGGGTTGAACGAGGAAATAATCTGGCTGTGCATCCAACGTACAGCTCTCCAGAGTTGAATTCAAATATAAGTCAGCAGGAAGCATTTGCTGCCAGTGAGTTTTCAGCACAAGAGGTGATGGCTTATCACTTTCGTCTGCCACCTCCGTACCCTCGTACGAGCAGCAGTACACCTGACCTTGCAGTTCAGCCGGCTTCCAACTTGATTTCCAACCAGCCCGATCTGGTTCTGCCGAACTTGACTGGGTCACATGACCAGCCTGGATTTCATGACCTCATTATACAGTCAAGGTTAGACAAGAGTATGGAAGACCTTTCAGCTTTCCAAATAGGTCCCTCATACTCCGCAGGAGAAATGCAGGCTTTGTCAGAGCTGGCTCATGACGCAAAGAAGTCTTCTTCAGTCTATGGAAAGAATGAGCAGGCTCAAATGGTTGGATCTTCTAATGCTACAGATGCGGGTAATAAAAGAACTGGTGCTAGGGAAATTATTCAGAGCACATCCGATCAAGCTGGACTGTCAGAGAATGATGTTACTCTGACAGGTGAAAGCACAAGCAAGCTAGGAGAGGATCTTGATGACACCTCCAGTGAACATTCTTACTCAACTTTCCATGCCAAGGAATCTGATGACAGCTCAGACGAAGAAGGAGCCAAGTTGAAATCTGCTCAAGCAAAGAAGGATTCTAATATTCAGATCAGGATGTTTACTCCACAGGAGGCGCCACCTCCATCTAAATTCAAAGAAGAAGCTACACTACGGGAGAGCTTCCGAAGACTGAAAATATCACGTACTAGTTCACTGAACAAAGAGGCACCAGGTTTGAGGAGGTCATCTCTATGTGGCTTGAAAGAAACAGCTGAAGCACAAACATCAAATCCGAACCAGACTACCGGAGGTACTCAGCAGCCCCAGACTCCTCATCCAGCACACACTTCTGCAGACCCCACAGTGGCTCCACCTGAAATGGAAGAAATCTTAGAGCAGCTTGGTGCTCCTCCACCTTACCCGGGAAAATCATCAGTCCCGGATCTTGTGTCAGATGTCCCTGATATAAGGGACACCTCTTTGACACCTACTGGGGCTCAGAACTTTATCTCTCAGCACAAGCAGACCACGTTTAAAAGATCCAGCTCATTAGGGATGACATCTGTGAGAAATGCCCACGTTCTTCCTTCCAGGAAAGACTTTGCAGCTTCCAGACTAAAGACAAACACATTAAGTTTGGACACAGTTGTGCCCGTGTCCAAACCAGGCATGATTCTCTTCAACAAAGATCGTGGTACCTCTGTGCTGAAGACAGAGGCGGGCAAGCCAGTACTGGGTGACCATGAAGCAGGAAGTACCAGAAGTCTCAGCAACAAGGGTGCTGTGAGTGGAAGTGAGCCGGAGGCAAGCCACGAGGACAAGGATGATGCAAGTGACAACGTGAGCAGCTTGCAGGACTACTCTCTTGGATCTGATAGTGATTCTGACCATGACCAGGTATGTTTGTTGATATGGAATGATTACAACCTGGCAATTACATTCTGTGTCACTCTGTTATATTCTATGTCAATCTGTTATATTCTGTGTCGGTATTCTTTATTGCTTTATCTGTCAATCTCTTATATTACATGTTGCATTCTGTGTCAGTCTGTTACATTCTTGGTCAATCTGTTATATTCTATGTCAGTCTGTTATATTCTTTGTTGCTTTGTCTGTCAATCTGTTATATTGCATGTTGCATTCTGTGTCAGTCTGTTACATTCTTGGTCAATCTTTTATATTCTGTGTCGATATTCTTTATCGCTTTATCTGTCAATCTCTTATGTTACATGATGTGTCAGTCTGTTACATTCCTGGTCAGTCTGTTATATTATTTGTTGCTTTATCTGTCATATTATTACATGTTGCATTCTGTTTCAGTCTGTTACATTCTTAGTCAATATGTTATATTCTATTTCAATCTGTTATGTTATTTGTTGCTTTATCTGTCAGTCTCTTATATTATGTGTTACATTCTGTGTCAGTCTGTTATTATATTCTGTGTTGCATTTTGTGTCAGTTTGTCACATTATATATCTGTTATATTCTCTGTTTGCTACCTTCTCTGTTGCATTTTGTGTTTGTCACATTCTGTGTTGCATTTCTTTGGGTATTTCTGTTGTTTTTCATTGTCAGCTTGACTTTTGACTTTTTATGATAGGCTATTTCCTCATGTGCCTGTCTTAAACATTCTGTATTGCAATCTTTGTCAGTCTGTCGCATTATGTTTTGGATTCTTTGTCAGTTTATCCATGGCCAAACTTTAGTTACAGGCCTAGCTACAGACGTCATCAGCGGGACGTGACGTCACCGCCGCTGGCTAACGTTATGTTACTTTTTCACTCAGACAGTATCTGTTTTTTGTTGTTGTTCCAGGCCGTCCCCTGAGTACTAGCCCACAAAAAGTATAGCAGTAAGCTCATGGCTATTCAACAGTCAGCCCGCGGACCAAATTTGGCCTGCTGAGGCCTAGCGAGTGGCCCGCGGATCACTGCTGGTTGCAATGAAATAATACTTTTTTTAAGCTGGGACTTGGACTGCTGGCCCATAACGATCCCTAATTTTACAATGTTGGCTTCAGAAATCACAACAGAAACTATTCACATATTCACAATATGACATAGAAACAGAAAGCACAACAGAAACTACTTACCACGTAGCTGTCCAAATTGAAGTTACATAATCCGTGAAATCCATTACTGGGTGAATTTGGTCAGTTTTCTTTTCTTAGATGATTTATCCAGCAAAGATGTGTCGGTTTTGATTTTGCGGTAGTTATTTAGGAAAACATTTGCCAGAGATGGCAGCGCTTTGGAAGCAATGTTTATTTTAGAACAACCCTCAGCACAGACACCACCTATTTCATCCTTGAAATATGTGTGTAAACTGCATGAAACAATATTCATAAGCAATTTTTTGTGATGTTTGCAGGCTAGAAATTGTGTTTCCAACTCAGCTGATATAAGCTTCTGCATAGCTGCATATGTTAGAAAGGTAATTAAAATTATAAATTTTGAAGGGTATTTCAAACCTCCACGGTCAAGCAGCTGTATATAGTCTGTTGACATTGCACCTGAGTCAACATCATTTGATAATGGCCTGTCCATCTGCAATAAAGTCTTGCAGGCAGCACACCTAATTTTTTTGTTCAGCTTACTTGAGACAAATCCAGCAATATACACCAGTGACTCCTCTGAACCTTCCGAAACCAATAATTCACACTCATTTGGGTTTATTTGAAAAAAAACCTTGTTCACGTCCAGGTGAACAGCATCAGTCATTATGTCATCCCCAGTTTCATCTTCTTTGCTGCTAAGAAACTCTGAGAGGTCACGGATAGAAAAATCTCCATAAGTTGATGAGGACATACTTAACAGTGAGTAAACTTTAAGTTTCTTTTCTGCTTCTAAAACTTGCTGCACAGATACTAGGTAGTTTGCTCCTGACAACTGCCGATATTCACCAAACCGAGCTTCTAAGTTGTCAGTCTGTAACTTTCCAAGAAGTATAAAACTGGCTTCTGTGGTTGCAAATAGATATTTGATTAGAGAAAGCACTGCGGTCACTGTATGCAGCAGTGCACTGTGTGTTTCCTTGGTCAGTTTTCCTTGACAGCCAGGCAGCTTGTCCCATTTTCTTAGCCATTCAGCAAACTGTTCAAGATAATGCACTTGTTCATCATCATTTGACAATACAGGATTTGAGAATGAGTTCAGTGTCTTTTTACCTACAAATTTACTTTTTACATTAACAATATGCCACCATCTAAGGATGGCTTCAATAAAATCTGCTGTTTCATTACTGCCTACTAGACGCAGAGCAGCAACATTGTATTCATTAAAAATTGCCAAGGCAAGAGGAACATTCTGTCTGTCCATGCTGGAGGGATAGATGGCTTTGTGGGAAAGTTTAGGTGCCAGTTTTGCAATATTCTTTTGCTCACTATAATACAGTTTCTTTAAATGAGAAAAGTTAGCTTCTGCAGCTCTATCAGTATCACAGGCGTTTAGCATTTGTCCAGTTATTAAAGGATAAGTAAATGTCTGGTTTGTGTCCTTCTGGTTGATCCAGTTCCTCCACATGCATTTTAGCAAGTGCACAGAATCATGCAGTAAAAATATTTTTTTATTAGCAAAATCTGGGTTCTCAATAAAAGTTTGGCTTGGTTTTCAGGAGATCACTGTAAAACTCTTCGATTGACAGCACTATTATCTGCAATTACAGCAACCACTGTGAAACCACACTGCTGTACAAAGTGGATACAGTGGAGTAATTTCAAACGTAGATCCTGAGATGTCATTCTGTTCACAGGTGAAAGTTCTATAATTTCCTGGTAGCTTCCAAAAACTGAAGATAAGAGGAAAGCCTGCACTGTTGTTGCTGCTTCTTTTGCATTGTCTGCATTGCCAAATATTTTGCCCCCAGAGTAAGTAATTGCAGATTTAACATATATTTCATCCATCTGAACTACTACAATCTTTTCTAGCTCTGTCAGTTTGTCTAGTTTCAATTTCAAGTACTGTGAAATGCTGCCAGTATGAGTAGACAATGACAACTGTGAAGTTAAATTGTGCAGTGTTCTTTGATGAGGCAGGCACAACATACGAGATTTTCTTATAAACCGGTAGCATGCTGGAGATTTAATGAACAGCATGAAAGCGAAACATAATGTGCTACAACTGTAACGCCTTCTGTTTTTTAACACGGTTAAAAAGTTGCAGCTGCTCTGCAAGAAAGTTTACTTGTGTGTCAGTTACTTCATCAGCTGTCCCATTAGGAGTCCACTGTTGCTCTGCAGCACTCTTCAAAATACTTCCTGCTTCTTCCACTAAATCTGTGAAGCTATTTTGGCTATGAATTTTACTATAATCCCAGGCATTGTAATGAATTACAAGATTTTCAAGCTGTGACCATCTCACAAGTTTATTGTTGTCTACAATCCATTTAAGGTCTTTGTCTTTAACTTTTTTATTTTGAACAAAGACTTGTATAGTCATATCAAGTAACACCTTTATGCTGACACCTATGGATGGTGCAGAGTCTTACTGTATGGTAATGACATACAAAACAATACATGCTAAAGCTCCATCTACAGAAGTGTATTTCCAATTTTTTTCAAAGTGTCCTTTCAGTTTGTTTCCTATCTGTGACTCCAGATCTTGGAAATCTGTAATGATATCTGAGGACAGCCAATCATTCACTTTTCGATCGTAATTACGATTAATATGTGAAAGATCTGGAAAGATAGTTGGATAAGCATCTTTTTTTAAAGCGGGATTCTTTCTTGGGAGTATATGCTCGATTCCAGATTTGTCTGTATATTTTTCAGACACAATAATATCTGACGTACGAAAATGTTTTATACATACTACACTGGTTTTCCCAGGAGTCCAATTTTTCCGTGGAATATGTTTCAGCCATTTGTCTCTTAAAAGAGAATTCAAAGGGAATCTGAAGCAACTTACATATCCACTAGAAAGGTCATAATTTGAACGACACTCAGGTACAGAACATTTAGCAGGCATAGTTCCTCGAAAACCAACACACTGACGATAAATCCAACGTAAATTGCAGAAATTGCTTACTAAATCTACTCCCTGAAATACCGCTTTTAGGTGAATCAGACGTGAAAATTAAACCACATTAAAAACTTTCACAAGAAAAATAAAACCGAACACACACTGATACAACCATTTTGTTTGCCTCGGGAAGTGACGTCACCAGTCGAGTTTCAGGGCCTGTAATTTTCGAAGGCGTCGGTTTATCACACTATAATGTCCTGACTGTATGAGTGAATAACTGTGATTGCCTTTCTGAATATATAAATGAGTGTGAATATCTGAATGAATAATTAAATGAATGATTGAGTGAATGAAAGATTAAGTGATGGAATGAATAACTGACGGAAAGAATAAACACTAACATCTAATTTGATGCCCACTGAGTGCCGATTGGTCTATAAATATAGGTCTAGCCCTGTATGCCTAATACACCTGAAGGTGTGGGAAAGGGTAAAGTAAAGGTCCCTTTTCCACGCCCTTAGGCGTATTGGGCATATAGGACTAGACCTATCTATATTTTATAGACCAATCGGCACTCAGTGGGTGTTGTGGTCAGCATTTCGCCGGCCGCCTTTACTTCCCAGGACTGCACCTGGTACCCACTCAAGGCTGGGTAGACCTGGGAGTCAAGGTCATTACTGAAAAAAGTCTGGGTCCGTCAGGACGCGAACCCACGACTTTCAGATCCGCAGGCGGGTATCTAGCTGCCAACGCCACGGCGACTCCCCCATAGAACAGGGTGCTTTATTTATTAATTAGTTTTTTTTTTTAAATTACATTTTCTGTCGGCGTCTGTGGCTTAGGCGTTGCGAACGAGCTTCATAATGTTGGGGTGCCGGGTTCGATCCCAGCTGCGGTCCTTGCGCCTTGCGCTGGTTTCGACAGTGGCATCGAGGAGCTGACCGTCCAGAAAGCAGTGGCAAACTACTAGACGTAAACTTGCCTAGAAAAACCACAACAGCCAAAAAATGCTGGGGTTGGCTCTGCAACGTCCTGTAAAGGATATGCAACTAACTTTCTCGTGTGATGGTTATATAGTAAAACTCTAAAGATGTTGCTTACTTCAGAATTCAGGCAATGCTCAGCTCACATGGGTCCACTCAAACTGGCCGCAATGAATGGGCTAACATTGTCAAGGTCTGTGGTCCTGTCGCTGATGAACGACGACAGCAGGGCACCTACGGACGACAGGGTATGTTGGTAGATTTCTTGGTGAATATGTATCTTTTGCATACACAACTAGAAATGTTAAAATTGTAGTCCCTACAAACATAAAATATGAGCTAAACAGGTAATCTAGAGCTACATCGGCCATGCCCTCAGAATTGATAAGACATGATTTCTCCATCAAGCCCTCATATGCACACCAGAAGGGAAAAGGAAATGGAGAAGACCAAAAGAGACCTTGTGTAGAATCATCATCAGGGAAGGCTCAACCATGGGCCTAATGAATATCCAAGACTTAAAACAGGTGGCAGTGAGCCGCCAGAAATGGAAAACTATGACCTCTGCATTATGCGCTGCCCTAGGCTTAAGAGTAATTACTAACTAAACAGGTAAACAGGTAATCAGAGTTCCTGCTTCATATTAATTAGGTCACCCTATAGAGTCTCTGCTCTCGGTGCCAACTAAAAGCACACAGAATGTCCATCCCTGTCTGTTATGAAAAAATTGACACAGTCAGTAAAGCCAGTAGCATACATACTCCTTTAATACATAAGGCAGCTGCTGGAAGTGCCAACATAAGCAATCATCAGATAACAACAGATCAGTAGATGCTCATGCAATTAATTGCATCAGGCACCACCAGTTCTCTGGTAACAGACCACTCGTCTTTTTCTGAATCTGCAGTTCAAAACACAAATCTCGTTGAGCACAGTCAAAAAGAATTCCAAATGAAATCCTCATCTCACAGCGCTGACCCATGCATTTAGCTCAGGCGTTGGGTGACAGAACTATATTCTTTCAGTCTAGATATGGAGGAAAATGCAATTGCTAACTATATCGGAAACAAAAACCACGACTAGATACAGCAAGACTGCCTATCCACCATATTGACTGGAAGCCAATCAGCTCTTTGCCAATGTCTTCATTCTGACTAGTCAATTAAATGCATGAACAGAGATCACTGAAGAAAGAAGCCTTCTTATTATTATCTTGAAATGCGTTTTGTTGCATTGTTTTTAAAATCTGAGCTTGTCGTTCTGTGTCACTGCTGCCTTCCGTTGGCTTGAGAATCAGCTTTACACACATGCCGTGATTGTAAATGACTCACAGAGCATGTTGAGAAAGGTGGAATCAGACATGCTCCGTGCAGAGTGGCAAGCATCACTTCAGAAGTCCTGGGTAGCATCTTTTAGATTTTTTTTTCCAGGTAATGACAGTGTCTTGGGAAACTAGCAGGCAGATAGACTGGCTGGCTGTGCACAACTTGATGGTGAATTAATGTATTATTACGCTCAGCACTCAAGGCAAGGGCGAGACGAATATACAGTCAGTCAGTTACTGGTATAATCGGAATTGGAACTCTTCGCCTGCTGCTAAAGATAGGGATGAAGTGCGTACAAGGGTTTCCTGAATGCTATGAAGTTGACTTTTAGGCTTCTTAGTAATAATTCGCCGCATTAATTTCTCGACACTAGCATGACTGGGAGCCGCCGTGATGTAGTGGCTAGATGCTTGCCTGGATCGGAAGAATGTGGGTTTGGGTCCTAATGGAGATGGACCTTTTTTCTATCAAAATAAGCTTGGCTGCCAGATTGACCCAGCCTGAATTGGGTACCAATTAAAGTCCTGGCAAGTAAAGGCAACCAACTAGATGCTGACCACATCACCCACCGAGTGCTGATTGGTCTATAAAATATAGGTCTAGCCCTATATGCCCAATACACCTGGAGGTGTGGGGAAAAAGGTCCTTACTTTACTGACCAGCTCAACTGCAGCAACTCATGTTTTTTTAAATTTTTTAAAAATATTTTAAAATCACTTCACAAATTATTATTATTATTTTTTTTGTTTTGTTTTCGGCAGCGGAAGATGCTTGAGAGTAAGATCTCAGAAGGGCAGGTTTACGCAGAGTTTGAGCAGATCCCCAGGAAGTCAGAGACGCTGGAGTGTGAGGTGGCCAAGGCCCCACATAATGCTTCACGTAACAGGTTCAAGGATGTGTTGCCGTATGACATCACTCGGGTCAAACTAACTCCGAGGAAAGACAACCCAGATGGGTACATTAATGCCTCACATATGAAGGTGGGTTCAACATCTCTTCTACTACTTCTCTCACAACTGTTTTACTACATCTCTATCAGATTAATGCCTCACATATGAAGGTGGGTTCAACATCTCTTCTACTACTTCTCTCACAACTGTTTTACTACATCTCTATCAGATTAATGCCTCACATATGAAGGTGGGTTCAACATCTCTCCTACTACTTCTCTCACAACTGTTTTACTACATCTCTATCAGATTAATGCCTCACATATGAAGGTGGGTTCAACATCTCTTCTACTACTTCTCTCACAACTGTTTTACTACATCTCTATCAGATTAATGCCTCACATATGAAGGTGGGTTCAACATCTCTTCTACTACTTCTCTCACAACTGTTTTACTACATCTCTATCAGATTAATGCCTCACATATGAAGGTGGGTTCAACATCTCTTCTACTACTTCTCTCACAACTGTTTTACTACATCTCTATCAGATGTGTGTTTTACAAATTCTGTCAACCGTATGTTTTACAATATCTTTGTAATCTGTATTTTATCTCTATCATCTATGTGTTTTACAGCATCTGACAACTAGATGTTTTACTATGTGTTTTACTTCTCTCATCCATGTGTTTTACAACATGTCAGCTATGTTTTACCTTTCTTTCATCCTTTTGTATTTCAGCATCAGTCAACAATATGTTTTACTTCATCTCTATCAGCTGCATGTTTTTACATCTCTCTCAGCTATATTTCACAATCATCTGTCAACTATATATTTTACTTCACTTCTATCAACGTTCTTACGTCTCTCTCAACAATGTGTTTTACAACATCTGTCAACTATATGTTTTACTTCATCTCTATCAACGTTTTTACTTCTCTCTCAGCCATGTATTTTACATCTGTCAACTATATGTTTTACTAGATCTCTGTTGACTATGTTTTACATCTCTTTCAGTAATGTGTTTTACAACATCTGTCAACTATATGTTTTACTTCATCTCTGTCAGCTATGTTTCTGATGTCCTTATTTCTGTAAATAAAGCCATTTGCTTCTAAAGCACACCAAGAAAGTGACAATTAGGGAGTTGTGGCACAGAATAGAAGTGCCAGGTTTAAACAGGCTTCTAAAGCAAACCAGGAAAATGACAATTAGGGGGTTGTGGCACAGAATAGAAGTGCCAGGTTTAAACAGGCTTCTAAAGCAAACCAGGAAAATGACAATTAGGGGGTTGTGGCACAGAATAGAAGTGCCAGGTTTAAACAGGCTTCTAAAGCAAACCAGGAAAATGACAATTAGGGGGTTGTGGCACAGAATAGAAGTGCCAGGATTAAACAGGCTTCTAAAGCAAGTCAGAAAAGTGACAATTAAGGAGTTGTGGCACAGAATAAAAGTGCCAGGTTTAAACAGGCTTATAAGGTAAGTCAGAAATGTGACAATTAAGGAGTTGTGGCACAGAATAAAAGTGCCAGGTTTAAACAGGCTTATAAAGTAAGTCAGAAATGTGACAATTAAGGAGTTGTGGCACAGAATAAAAGTGCCAGGTGGTTTAAACAGGCTTCTAAAGCAAGCCAGGAAAGTGACAATTAGAAAGTTGTGGCCCAGAATAGAAGTGCCAGGTTTTGTGCTTCTTGGGACAGAAGGGATAAGAGATCCTGGTTTGAATTAATCAAGGGCATACGCTCCATTGGGAAATAGAAGACAGAAGAAAGAAAGAAAAAAAAAAAGGGTAGTTTTGCCTTTGAATGCAGTAAAAACAGCTTTTTTACTCATTATGTCTTAGCTCACAGCCAATGATACCAAGTGGCTATTTATAGCAACGCAGGCTCCGTTGAACAACACTGCTGTGGATTTCTGGCAGATGATTTGGGAGAACAATGTCGATGTAGTTGCCATGTTGACACCGTTTGAGGTACGCTTGTGTTATGCCTTGCGGTTTCCTATTTGTTTGTGAATTACTAGACTAAGTAAAAGTGAAGAACCTTTTTTTATGTCAATGACGCAGGGGGTATTATAATACTAAACTAATATTTTTATAGACCAGTCGACACTCTATGGGCGATGTTTTCAGCATCATGCTGGCTGAATTTACTTCCCAAGACTGTACCCAGTACCTACTTTAGCCTAGGTCTACGTGGGACCCAGAGTAATTTTTTTTTGAAAAAAAAAAAAAAATAAATAAATTCGTGATTACATACAGATTTGAACTCAAGACCTTTATTCCAGCAGTTGAGTGTCTAGCCCAGGGGTGGGTAAACTGTGGTCCCAAAAGTGGTCCACCAAGCAGTTTTACTGGCCCACGAAGCTGGTGTAAAATTACTATATAATCTGCCCCCGCCCCTCCCCCCTCCCCAATAGTAGGATTTCTGCAAATAACTAGCTTGAACAGATACATTTAGGAATATATAGAAGTGCTTCAGTCGATGAGTGTGTCTGGCTAGAGGCCTAGCAAGGGATATAATCTCAGATTATCCTATAAAAATATCCTGTTACAGGGAAATCTGGGTGTTGTTATGTTTATAACAGAATATTTCTATATGACCTGCGACCAGGTTGGTAATTCTAAATTTGTCCTGCAGCCAAATATAAGTTGCCAACCCCTGATCTAGCCACTACACCCTCACATCTCGTGAATTAGTTGGATTGGCACTTTTCCGACTTTTCAGACGATAATATTATATTGTGCTATGAGGAGGCATGGCGGTGGCAAGTGTGAATTAGTACACACTGTAAAATTAAGTTTCAGCTAGACTTCCAGGTCGATAAAGTCTAAAATTGAATCAAGGAAGTGTCTGGGAAAGTAAAGATGGCCGGCATGGAACAGGACTCAAGTCTAGAAGTGGATTAACAACTAGAACTTTCCGCTAGTGTGCAAGACAGTCTAAGTTGAGAACAGGTGCTTTTCGACTGTATTTATTTCATTGTGATGGCAAAGATCAGCGATGTTTTATATACATGTAATGGAACGGTTGCTGTGTGATGTGCACTTTTTTCTGTTCATTATAGTAATAGGTGCTGTGCACTTATTTCAATTATTTATGGAAGTAATGGGTGATGTGCACTTGTTTCTGTTTATAAAAATAATGGATGGTGTTCACTTACTTCTGTTCATAAAAGTAATGGGTGCTGTGCACTTATTTCAATTATTTATGGAAGTAATAAGTGGCATGCACTTGTTTCTGAGTGGTGTGCACTTGTTTCTCTGGATTATTAAAGTAGTGAGTAGTGTGCACTTGTTTCTCTTGATTATGAAAGTAGTGAGTGGTATGCACTTGTTTCTCTGGATTATTAAAGTAGTGAGGGGTGTGCACTTGTTTCTCTTAATGATTAAAGTAGTGAGTGGTGTGCACTTGTTTCTCTTGATTATTAAATTAGTGAGTGGTGTTCACTTGTTTCTCTTGATTATGAAAGTAGTGAGTGGTGTGCACTTGTTTCTCTTGATTATGAAAGTAGTGAGGGGTGTGCACTTGTTTCACTTTATTATTAAAGTAGTGAGTTGTGTGCACTTGTTTCTCTTGATTATTAAGGTAGTGAGGGGTGTGCACTTGTTTCTCTGGATTATTAAAGTAGTGAGGGGTGTGCACTTGTTTCTCTTGATTATTAAAGTAGTGAGTGGTGTGCACTTGTTTTCTTGATTATTAAAGTAGTGAGTGGTGTGCACTTGTTTCTCCTGATTATGAAAGTAGTGAGTGGTGTGCACTTGTTTCTCTGGATTATTAAAGTAGTGAGTGGTGTGCACTTGTTTCTCTTGATTTTAAAAGTAGTGAGTGGTGTGCACTTGTTTCTCTTGATTATTGAAGTAAAGAGTGGTGTGCACTTGTTTCTCTTGATTATTGAAGTAATGAGTGGTGTGCACTTGTTTCTCTTAATTATTAAAGTAGTGAGTGGTGAGCACTTGTTTCTCTTGATTATTAAAGTAGTGAGTGGTGTGCACTTGTTTCTCTTGATTATTAAAGTAATGAGTGGTGTGCACTTGTTTTGTTTATTAAGTTATTTGTGATGTACACTTGTTTCTGTTTATTCAGGAATTGGGCAAGTCCAAATGTTTTGTTTACTGGCCTCAGGAAAGGGGTGCACACCACAAACAGGTTTATGGAGAGGTGAGTCAGTGACTAGGTAAAGACAAATGGATGTATTTAATTGTTTGCTTTGTTTATTGTTGTATCATTTCTAATCTCACCTCTTCTTGATTATTTACAGCATCTTACCTTAGCTGCATTAGTGTAGCATCATACTGTGCTGTAGGATGGAACTTTATCTCACCTCTAATGTGCACTACTCTTTATTTCACCTGGAATGTAGCACTACACCTGATCTCACTGTAATATAGCACTATACATTATCTCACCTATAATGTAGTACAGTACCTTTTCTCACTTATAATGTGTAATACAGTACCTTATCTCACCTGTAATGTAGTACAGTATTTTATCTCACCTGTGATGTGTTTATACAGTATCTTGTATAACCTGTAATGTATAATACACTACCTTATCTCACCTGTAATGTATAATACAGTACCTTATCTCACCTGTAATGTGTAATACGGTACCTTATCTCACCTGTAATGTGTAATACGGTACCTTATCTCACCTGTAATGTGTAATACGGTACCTTATCTCACCTGTAATGTGTAATACGGTACCTTATCTCACTTGTAATGTAGTACAGTATAGTATCTAACATGAAAAAAGTTTGTTCGGTCAACTTTAATGTAGAACAATACTTTATCTCAACCATAAAGTTTAAGAACAACGGATCAACATCATGGCACAGGGGTAGTAACCCATAAGTGTTTCATTCTACTTCTAACTTGAGCATGTGTCCCAAGAATCTCAGAGCAGCGCACAGCCTCTGTAGCACCAGCAAAGATCCTGAACTACTTTGGGTAGATTTTTAACTCCAAATTTTGCAGTGGCAGCGCTTTTAGGCTACTCTGTTTGATTTCCAACTGCCAAGGGATCTTTTACATGCGCAACAATACACACAGGCGTCTGATCTTACTACCCAGAGACCAGGGTAAATTACTAGAAGTCCACGTGGAAAAACCCGGGACCTCCAGCACTCGAGGCTGACGCCATGCCTCGAGACCACCGCTCCACCTTCCCATCTCAACTATAAAGTAGTTCAGTACACTGCCTCACCTGTTGTATAGTAAAGCATCCTTCATGGTGCCGTGTCACACTCATTTTCCAGTGTTCTTACTCATTTTGTTTCGTAATATGGCCCTTCATTTCCATATTATATTTCCCAATGATGTATTTTCCTCCCTGTCCTGGGTAATTAATCAGATATCTAGCTTTCTCGGATAAGAGCAGAAACTGCAGGAAGACACATATGCATGTTTTGTGAACTAAAATACTGGACAGCTAGAAATTAAAAACAGATATGCCAAATTGGCCACCGCCAAGGCTGTTTTAATTAAACACAGTCTAGGACTCAAGAAGTTGGAAATGAGGCTTCAGAACCCACACAGGAAGCCTTTTTGTAATCTGGGGAAGGAGAATAGAGCATTTCTAGAGAAGCCATGAGCATTGAAAGAGATCCTAGACAAAAGACAAAACAATGAGGGCTTGCTTGCACTGACATGATCCTCTGACTCTTGCAGGGTTCCTGGACGAGATCGAGGCTGTGGCTCGGCTGGCGGAGACCGAAGCCGGCCGTAGTGAAAAGTCGCCAGTTGTAGTTCACTGCAGCGCTGGTGTGGGGAGGACGGGTGTTGTGATTCTAACCATGGTGATGAAGTGGTGTCTGGAACATAACCATGTAAGTTATGTCATTGTCTGAAACAATTGATGCTACTGCATCTATCTCAACTGTTAATTTTGCCGCCTCTCTCTCAGCTGTTCATTTTGCTACATATCTCTCAACTGTTGATTTTACTATGTCTCTCTGAACTGTTGATTTTACTATATATCTCTCTAGTGTTGATTTTACGACATATTTCTCAACTGTTGATTTTACTATGTATCTCTCTACTATTAATTTCACTATATATCTCTCAAATACTGATTTTACTATATATCTCTCAACTGTTGATTTTACTGTGTCCATCTCAACCATATATTTTACTGCATCTATCTCAACCATATATTTTACTGCATCCATCTCAACAATATATTTTACTGCATCCATCTCAACCATATATTTTACTACACGTCTTAGCTGTTGATTTTACTGTGACCATCTCAACCATTTAGTCTACTACATCCATCTCAACCTGCAGTTTACTACATCCATCTCAACCTGCAGTTTACTACATCCATCTCAACCTGTAGTTTACTACATCCATCTCAACCTGCAGTTTACTACATCCATCTCAACCTGTAGTTTACTACATCCATCTCAACCTGCAGTTTACTACATCCATCTCAACCTGCAGTTTACTACATCCATCTCAACCTGCAGTTTACTACATCCATCTCATCCATATATTTTACTACATCCATCTCAACCTGCAGTTTACTACATCCATCTCAACCTGCAGTCTACTACATCCATCTCAACCTGCAGTTTACTACATCCATCTGAACCTGTAGTTTACTACATCCATCTGAACCTGTAGTTTACTACATCCATCTGAACCTGTAGTTTACTACATCCATCTGAACCTGTAGTTTACTACATCCATCTGAACCTGTAGTTTACTACATCCATCTCAACCAGCAGTTTACTACATCCATCTCAACCTGTAGTTTACTACATCCATCTCAACCTGTAGCAGTTCCATCTACTACATCCATCTCAACCTGTAGTCTACTCATCTCAACCTGTAGTTTACTACATCCATCTCAACCTGTAGTCTACTACATCCATCTCAACCTGTAGTTTACTACATCCATCTGAACCTGTAGTTTACTACATCCATCTGAACCTGTAGTTTACTACATCCATCTCAACCTGTAGTTTACTACATCCATCTCAACCAGCAGTTTACTACATCCATCTGAACCTGTAGTTTACTACATCCATCTCAACCTGTAGTTTACTACATCCATCTCAACCTGTAGTTTACTACATCCATCTCAACCTGTAGTCTACTACATCCATCTCAACCTGTAGTTTACTACATCCATCTCAACCTGTAGTCTACTACATCCATCTCAACCTGTAGTTTACTACATCCATCTCAACCTGTAGTTTACTACATCCATCTGAACCTGCAGTTTACTACATCCATCGCAACCTGTAGTTTACTACATCCATCTCAACCTGCAGTTTACTACATCCATCTGAACCTGCAGTTTACTACATCCATCTCAACCTGTAGTTTTACTACATCCATCTCATCCATATATTTTACTGCGTCCATCTCAGCCATTTCTTCTTTTTCGCCAGTTACCTCATCAAAGTGTTGTTGATCTTAAACATATATTTTGCCTTTCTAACTACAGAATGTAGACCTGCCCAAAGCATTGTCAGGAATCAGAAGTCAGCGGATGCACATGGTTCAGACCATGGGTCAGTACCGGTTCATCCACGACACACTTATCCAGTACCTAAAGAACACAAGACTCATCTAGAGCACTGTGTCCATGATCCACACTCGCTGTAGAATTATGGCAAGAGTGTTTACCTTGGCTGCTTGCAATCTAGAAAGCTCAGATTGAGTAAAGGAGTGTGACAGTTGAAGTGTTTTTCTTGTGTCTGCACACATTCTTGATGCTAGTCCCTGTCAATTGCCAGCATTATCTTTATTTAATCCTGAAATGTAAAGGCTGCCAGTTTGTATTGTATAATAGAAAAAAAGATTTATGTTGTATTTGTGCTCGCTGTGTGGGTTCCGGGACCCCGATGTGGGGAAAACAAGAATAGACGGAAACAAGAATAGACCTACTGGCTCTCTAAAAAGCATGTCTGATTGGCCTCTTTCCGACTTTCCAGACGATAGTGTTATATTGCGCTATGAGGAGGCATGGGACTCAACAGCCCATGGCGATGGCGAGTGTGACAAGCAAGAACCACCCGTGTCAACATTAGGTTAACATGAACAAAACTATAGTTCCTGCAAGGGTGTATAATTGTTATTAGGCCTCTATTAGCACACATAAAAAAAAGAAAACACACACAAACTCATTTATCGGTTCTCTGGAATTCGTGTTAATGAGATTTTAATGTATAGATCTGGCACTGTATGCTCAATGGGCCAAAGGTGAGAGAAGAGAGAGTGCTGTTGTTGTAGGTTGTTTGTTACATTTATTCCTGTAGCATAATGTTTGTAATAATTAACATTTCTTGTGTATCATAGTTCTCTGTGCCTTCTGATTGAAATGTAGGGGCTATATTAGAGAAACATTAGGAGGTTTGATGTGGGGTGTTGGACATGGAGATTCCCCGTGTACTGAAAACATTTACATGGGGGAATGTGATTTTTGTAGGGAATGTCATGATTAGAACATTTACATGGGGGGATGTGATTTATGTAGGGAATGTCATGATTAGAACATTTACATGGGGGAATGTGATTTATGTAGGGAATGTCATGATTAGAACATTTACATGGGGGATGTGATTTATGTAGGGAATGTCATGATTAGAACATTTACATGGGGAAATATTGTTGTGATTAGAATATTTCATGTGGTAATGTTGTTGTGATCAGAACATCTACATGAGGGAAAGGTTATGATTAGAACAATTACCCGTAGGGGAAATATTCTAATTAGAACATTTACATGGGGAAATATTGTTGTGATCAGAACATCTACATGGGGGAAGGGTTATGATTAGAACATTTTCCGGTAGGGGAAATATTCTAATTAGAACATTTACATGGGGAAATATTGTTGTGATCTACATGGGGGAAGGGTTATGATTAAACATTTACCCGCAGGGGAAATTTTCTGATTAGAACATTTACACGGGGAAATATTATTGTTGTTAGAATATTTACATGTAGAAATATTATTTTAAAAAGAACATTTACATGGTAAAATATTGTGGATTCGAATAATTAGAGGGGAATTTTATTCCAAAAAGTACATTTACATGAAGAATATTATTGTTATTAGAATATTTACATGAGGAAATATTATTTTAATTAGAACAGTTACATGGGGAAATATTGTGGATTAGAACATTTAAAGGGGAAATATTATTTTGATTCCCCATTTACATGGGGAAATATTATTTTGATTAGAACATTTACATGGGGAAATATTATTTTGATTAGAACATTTACATGGGGAAATATTGTTGACACAGAGTGCCACCATTCAGATGATCACCCGGGGGACATGTTCCAGAAAACCCTGTTCAACCCATAGATTGTGTTATATTAGGCAACAGCCAGAGTGGGGCATTAAAACAACAAAAAAGTTTGTCAATGCAGGTTATACTACTATTTATATGAGAAAAATCTTATTTTTCATTTAAAAAATTTACATGGGGAAATATTATTATGGCTAGAAAATTTACATGGGGAAATATTATTGTGGTTAGAAAATTTACATGGGGAAATATTTTTGTGTTTTTGATAAGAACATTTACATGGGTATCTATTTTAATTGAAACATTTATCTGTGGAAATATTGTGATTAGAACATTTACATTATGGAATATATTTGTGATTAGAAAATTTACCTAGTAAAACATTTTGTGATTACACTATTTACATTTGGAATTTTGATTGGAATACTAATACAGAGAACATTTTGTTGTGTGAACATTTCAGTGAAGAAAATGTGTGGGTGCTTTATTAATATCCTACCCCAAAACAGGAAATTCACCGGTCACTTGACAGTCTAATATTTCAGGTGTTGGTAGATAGGCTGCATGCAGTCGTGGGACGAAGGCTGTACTCTTTCATGGGACGTAGTTGGGTTGGGGTTAGGGCCAGTTCTAGATGTTTTGGTGTTGTTAAAAGCATCAGAAAGCCGGGAAACCCAGTCTTACCACCCTCTAAAATGTTGGATTGTCCTGTGACGTCATCTGGGGTAGGATATTAATAAAGAACCAATGTGTGCTATAATGTTAAAATTTACTCTTGAAATATTTGGATGTGGTTAGATCGTTTACACAGAGAGATTTTGTTATGGCCGAAAAATGTATGCAAGTACATGATTATACAAGTCAGCAATGGGACGAAAGTTTGTTCAGTTGTCTGTTTGCAGACTTGTTTAGGTATTTAGTCTGCCGCTAACATTTTTTTGATATATTTGCAGTGTATGACTGTTTCTGTATCGAATGCTCATTTGAGACTTTCTCATGGCTTCACTTAATTTTACTGCTGGACTGTTTATGCAAATGTTCCCATCTGAACTGTTATATGCAAATATTCACTTCTCAACTGTTATATGCAAATATGTTCACTGTTATATGCAGATGTTCACATCTGAACTCATTTATGCAAATTGTGATTTCTGCCTTAGTGAAGCTTTCTGTATTGATCAGCGACAATCATCGGGGGATTTATCATGTGAACTTATTTTATTTTGGGGGAATGTACTTTGTGTTTTTCTCTCTCACATTCGTGTTAACAATAATGTTGAACTATGCAGTATGGTTGCCAGATTGCCCATAAAAATCTTTAAATGTTTGGCCAGTATGGTTGTATGTGACCGTTTAGTGCTTTAATTAATTATGATACCACACGTTGTAGTTTTCTCAGTGGAACATACACAGCAGGGGAGAGAAATCATTGTACTCGTTTCTTACTGTTTATCTCTCTAACTTTGTGTACATGTGTGTGTAATATATATAAAACACATTGTTATCTGGAAAGGGGGAGAGGTGCCAACCGTACCAGACAAATTCCAAACCACTGTATGGTGAGACATCAGCAGGTAGTTTAAGAATGATGCTAGCTTCGACATTTACCTTTAACCTTTGGTCGAAGTTTGGTGCAGGAGAGCCTAGCATATTATACCACATCTAGCTCAAGAATGGAGGTGGAGGCGGTCATGCAGATTTCTGCTGGCTAAAGAATATAATATGCACATATATCATGATTGTAACTGACTCAGAAAACAAGCTGAGGAAGGTGAGGACAGGCATGCTTCGGGCAGAATGGCAAGCTTCGCTTTGGAGATGACAGGTGAGAAGCATTGTTTTGAGGTTTATCCCTGGGCATGCCGGTGTGTTGGAAAATAAACAATCAGACAGATTCGCTGGCTCTGCACAACTTAGTGGAATATTGATACACGATAAGGTAGAAATGGTCAGAGCCTTAGGGTAGCATATGTGCAGAGGAGCAGATGGATCATTGATTGATGCTGCGAGGAGTGACAAGGGGATCTGCCGATACTCAAGGCTCAGAGAAAAAGCAAAGCAGATGGATCATTGATTGATGCTGCGAGGAGTGACAAGGGGATCTGCCGATACTCAAGGCTCACAGAAAAAGCAAAGCAGATGTATCATCAGACTGCTACTGGTAACATCGGTATTGGAACTCTTTCGCTCGCTGCTGAAAATGGGGACGGAGCATTTATGAAATCAGCTCAATTCACCTCAGTCCTCTGAAAATCAGGTTCTTTAGCTTTGAGGTTAGTGAATGCGGTTAACAATTTCATTATGCTCAAGTATCAGGGATTGATTTCTGCGGTGGACAGTTCGAAAAATCACATTTTCAACCATAAGCATACTGGTTTAATGGTGTCCTCAGTTCAACCTTAGACATACTTGGGTTGATGGTGTCTTCAGTTCAACCTTGGACATACTGGGTTGAAGGTGTCTTCAGTTCAACCTTAGACATACTTGGTTGATGGTGTCCTCAGTTCAGCCTTGGACATATGGTGTTGATGGTGTTCTCAGTTCAACCTTGGACATACTGGGTTGATGGTGTCTTCAGTTCAACCTTGGACATACTGTGTTGATGGTGTCTTCAGTTCAACCTTAGACATACTGGGTTGATGGTGTCTTCAGTTCAACCTTAGACATACTGGGTTGATGGTGTCTTCAGTTCAACCTTAGACATACTGGGTTGATGGTGTCTTCAGTTCAACCTTGGACATACTGGGTTGATGGTGTCTTCAGTCTAACCTTGGACATACTGGGTTGATGGTGTCTTCAGTTCAACCTTAGACATACTTGGGTTGATGGTGTCCTTGGTTCAACCTTGGACATACTGGGTTGATGGTGTCTTCAGTTCAACCTTAGACATACTTGGGTTGATGGTGTCCTTGGTTCAACCTTGGACATACTTGGGTTGATGGTGTCTTCAGTTCAACCTTAGACATACTTGGGTTGATGGTGTCCTTGGTTCAACCTTGGACATACTGGGTTGATGGTGTCCTCAGTTCAACCTTAGACATACTGGGTTGAGGGTGTCCTTGGTTCAACCTTGGACATACTGGGTTGATGGTGTCCTCAGTTCAACCTTAGACATACTTGGTTGATGGTGTCTTCAGTTCAACCTTGGACATACGGGGTTGATGGTGTCCCCAACCCAACCATAAAAGCAAACCATGTTTGAAGACTATAGTACCCTGAGAATCGGAGAATTCTGAATTATGTGATTACATATCAGCAGTTCAGCAATACATTCATGCATAGATGAATTCAAAAATTGCATACCAAGAGTTCA